AGTAAGTTTGTAATTAATTTTTGTGCGTGTATATTTATTTTTAAAATTAAGCTAAATGATGTTTATAGTTTTAATAGTTAAGGTTAATAATTAACAGCGATATAAATCTAAAAATTATATACATATATAGTAATTATAAATGGCTAAATTAAGTTTATTTGGCATAATTATTTTTGTTATTGACATTGATATTTAATAAAAAAAATATTTTTATCATTGGGTTAGTAACAAAAGAAAAAGTAAATTAGGTCACACAAATATTAATTTCTATAATCAGTAAGTTCCCAGATAATAGGCAACACCTTGAGAGTTCTTAAAACTTATCTATCCTTGCACCTTACTACAAGTATTTATAAAAATAAATGTCTTTTATAGATACCACTGATATTGAAAGCAAAATCCATGGCCACTCATGATATCCGGGTGTTTGGTAGTCCCTGGTCTGCACCGAAATGGATGAAAACTAACAACGATTTGATAAATGGCGGTACAATTAAGGGGGCCGTTGGGTCCGAGTACTGGCAAATATATGCCAAGTACTTTGTCCAGTAGGTGTCATTTAACTAACTTATCAACATACTAACTTATAAAATACTTAATAAGTTCATGTACGCTTAATATTAGTTTTAATAGTTATCATTTATTTATCATTATTGAAAGCTCGCTTATTTATTTTGAATTTTTATTTGATTTGTTACTTGACTGAGCTAGCTATAAAATAATACTAAATTATTTATATATATATTTTTTAACAAATAGCTACTTAAACGCATACAAAGCCCACAACATAACCCATTGGGGTATAACTGTCCAAAACGAGCCCCGGGCCTCCCAGCGCTGGAACTCCATGATGTACACGGCGGAGACCACCCGGGACTTTGTCGCTAAAACACTGGGACCTGAGTTAGAGGCCAGTGGTTGGGGACCCGACAAACTCAAGCTCATGGTATTGGACCACAACCTGGATCTGGTGAAGGAGTGGGTGCGCGTCATATTTGCCGACAAAACTGCCGCTAAATA